GGGAGTTCTGAGACCTGCCCTTGTCCAAACTATGAAAAAAAAAAAAAATGGGACTCCCTCCCCCTCAAGTCTCACAGTAAAAAGTTACCAAATGTCCTTATCAGTCAGCAACATTGATTAAGTAGGAAACTCCTCAGCTTGGCCCTCAACGGCCTCCAGAATTGGACTGAACCCTACCTAGTCAACCTAATTTCCCTTCACAAGTCCTGGCCTCTAGAATTACAATGGTGCTGGTGTTCCTGGTCTCCAGAATATAGAAGGATTCATGTTGGCTTCCAGGCTTTTGCCCATGCTGTTTCCTCCACTTGAAATACCTTCCAATTTCCCCCTCCCTCACTCTCAATCCTATTAGGGTTCAGCTAAAGTCCCACCCCCTCCATGAAACTACCTGGACTACTGTGGCCCTTCCTGATCTTACCCAGTGAGAACATGGTGCTCAAACTCATAGTACTGTATTCTTTGCTGCAAGACATCAACATATTGAACATTTGGGTTGGCAACACTATGGAAGAGCTGAGACACTCACACGTGTGCAGTTTCTCTTCCATGAGGAGCAGCCTTTTTTTTTTTTTTTTAGTTGTTTGCAAGTTCAAGGTCTGAAATATTTTGAGCCTCATATGTACATGTAATAGTCAAGTTCTGTTTATGTTTTTAAATGCTAAGCTTACAATACTACAAGTGCTGTATAAGTAGAATTTGTACTAAATAAAATTATTTACAAATCTCATTTTCTCTGCAATAACAACATCCAGCATTTTGAACATTTAGCACTACTGAAACTAGTGTCACTCATAGCTTGACAGCTACCAGTGAGGTAGGATCTGGAACCTCCCTCAATCCCTTCCATATCAAGGCTCACTCTGTTTGTAATTCAAAGTGTATAATACAGAATCCACATGGTGCAAGGGAAAGAGCTCACTAGATTTAGAGATGAGATGGGGAAGATTAGGAGGTAAGAGGAGGGAGGAGGACGCATGGAGGGGCTGAGATGGGGGGGTGGGGGCTGAGTTGGGGGGGTGGGAGTATGGGGTTGGAGTCAGGTGGAGATTAGCTCTATTGAGACCCATACCACCTTCAGATCTCAAGGAACCTCCCAACCTTTAAGCCTCTATCACTAAATTTGGTTAAGTCACAATTACTTAAACTTTCTAAGCCTTGGTTCTGGCATCTGTAAAATGAGAGATAGGATTAGATGACTTGGACTGAGGGGGGTGGGGCGGTTAAGAGTTGGGAGGGACGGTCACTTTTAGCTCTGACTCCACACTGCTATGACTCATTAAGGGGCAGCTAGGTGGTACAGTGGACAGAGTGCCCAGCCTGGAGTCAGAAAGACTCATCTTCCTGAGTTCAAACCTGACTTCAAGCACTTCTAGCTGTTGGACCCTGGGCAAATCATTTAACCCTGTTTGCCTCTGTTTCCTCATCTGTAAAATAAGCTGGAGAAGGAAATGGCAAACCATTCCAGTATTTTTGCCAAGAAAACCCCAAAAGTGGTCATAAATAGTCGGACGTGACTGAAACAACTCAACTTCAACAACAACAAAGTGATCCATTATGCTAAAGTTCATACTCTACGTTTTCTGACTGTTGCCCTATTGAGATCTGCCTGATAAAGGCAGTGCATTGTAGTGGAAACTGAGGAGTCAGAGTTCTGGTTTCACATTCAACCTCAATTCTTGGTAATTGAGTAACCACGGGCATCTCTTTCACCATTGGAAGATCAAAGGAGATAATGCCAATAAATTCGTTTGGGAACCTTTAAGTGCTATTGGAGAATCAGCTATTATGTTGTACAGAGTCTTTGGTTCATCAGTAAAGTCAAGAAGAAAGAAAATTAGATTTGGAGTCAAAAGACCTGAGTTAGAATCTTTGTTCTATTACTTACACCGTTCTTAACATCCTTTGAATTGCTGTGTTACTTGGAGCCTCTCATCTGTCAACAAGTATTTATTAAACACCTACTCTATGCCAGGTACTATGCTAAGCACTGGAGATACCAAGAAAGGCAAAAACTCTGTCCCTGCCCTCAGGGAACTTATATTCTAATGAAAGAGAAAACAAGATTGATGAAGCCAGGTGACTTGGATTTAAATCCCTAACTCTGGGGTTTACTTTCTTGGGCAAGTCACTGGGTGGAAGAAGGGGTAAGCATTTATTAAGCACTTACTACATGCCAGGCACTATGTTACTAACTTCATTCAATCCTCACAACAACCCTGGGAGGTAGGAGCTATTATTATCCCCATTTTATAGTTGAGGAAACTGAGGCTGAAGGAGATTAAGTGAGTTGCTTAGGATCACACAGCTAATAAGTGTCTAAGGCTAGATTTGAACTCAAAACTTTTTGACTCCAAGCGCAGTGCTCTATCTACTATGCCACCTCCTACCGGGGGACTAGACCAGATGGCTAGACATCCACTGCAGCTCTAGATCTGTGATGCTGTGACCTATATTCAAATGCCAGTTTGGCTACTTACTACTTGTATGACCTTGGGCAAGTCACCTCATCTCTCAGGACTGTTGTCGTCTAGTCATTTTTCAGTCATGTTCGACTCTTTGTGACACCATTTGAGGTTTTCTTGGCAAAGATACTGGAGTAATTTGCCATTTCACTCTCCAGATCATTTTACAGATGAGGAAACTAAGGCAACCAGGGTGAAGTGACCTGCCCAGAGTCACACAGCTAGTAAATACCTGAGGCCATATTTGAACTCAAGAAGATGAGTCTCTCTGACATCAGGCCCAGCGCTCTCTGCACTGTGCCACCTAGATGCCCAGGATGCTGGGCTAGATGATTTCTAATATTTCTAGAGTATTGTTGTTGCCATTTAGAGATGAAATTGAAACTCAGTCGAATTAACTTGACCACGGTCACACAGCTGGTAAGGAGTCCTTGTGTCTAGCTGTCTCAATGCTCTTTCCATCTACTGTACCACCTTTATCCCCAGAAGTTAGCCTATGTCTTACTGGATTGAATGGAAGCATTCCTTCTGCATAAATCACTCTATTAGAAGAAAATACAGTAGAAAAGATACTATCCATCCCTGACCAGGAGGAATTCTGATCCCCGTGTCACCACACTGACATGGATTGAGATGGGGGGGCTATTGTGAAGGATGAAGAAGAGCCTGGGGTGGCAAGGGCCCCACGGGCAGCTCTGGCATTACCTTGCTCCCTGTATCTTGAAACAATGTATATCTAAAAAGGAGAGGGAGGAGGGAATGGACAGAGCATGGGAGATGTTAGGAATGTTAAACTTTGCAAAAGTTAGTTAAAGTGCTCCATAACCATCAGCCAACATTGCTGGAGAAGGAGGAAAAGGATCCCTTTTTTTGACTTACTCAGAAGATCCAGCAAATGCTTGCAATGGGAAAAAGCACAAGTCAGCATTTTGCCCGTGGGCCCCTCCCAGGGCCTGGCGCTTTAAACTCTGCTGCTTCAGGGCCTCTAGGATTGGCCATCTTTCCCCCCCCCCCCCCCCCCCCCCCCCCCCCCCCCCCCGGGAGGGCCAAGGCACAAAGCTGCCAAAAAAAAAAAAAAAGATACCACACACCCAAAGTGTGTAGCAAAAGGAGCCTCCCCTGCTCCATTCTGCCCTTATTTGAGGGATAAAGGGCTGCCCCCCAAACCAGATCCTAAACTCTGTTTGCATTGGCTGACGACACTGCAGCGCAACAGGACTAGAGATAAAGTTGGAACTTCTTTGGGTGAACGTGAGCAATTTTGTTCCTCACTCTCTCCACCTCCCCCACCCCTCACCACCACACTTTCCTCCCCACCTCCACCAAACAACCCCTCCAGTATGGCACAGTCTGTGGTAAATTCATGTCCTAGCTGCCTGGGACACACAGAAGGCAAGGACAGCTCCCAGCTGCCAAGTGGTGATGTTTGCTTGTCAAGTCCACTCCCTAGTTAAACTCAAATTCTGGGCCACCCCCTCATTCCGAGAAGTAATATCTAAGCCTCCCGCCATTCTGACTGGTGAAAGACTTTTGTTTTTCTCCCGCTGACAACTTGGGAGTTACCAGTGGGCATAGCATTGCATTATCCCCTTCGAATACCAAATGCTAACTTTTGGAATTTTCTTAGGGTAGGGCTCCTAAGCCTTACCCTATACTTTGTAGTCTCCAGCAAGATCAGTGCTGTCCTGAGTGAGTTCAAGATATTTCCAGACTGGGAGGACAAATACCTTTTGCCACTCCCCCCCCCATCTGACTTTGATTCTTGGTGGTCCAAAACAACCCTGATGGGCTATCCACTCCAGAAATGGGAATGCCACATTCTACACTCTGCCCTTCAAAGATAAATGAGGAAAAGGAAGCAACAAACACACCAAAGATGTGAGGAAAGAGAAGAAATCCTTCCTCCTGCGGCAAAGCTTGGGCCAGAAAGTTCCACTGGGGACATTTCTGGCTTTCTTTGATCTTTTACAACTGGAAGAATTTTCGAAGAGAGACCACTGGAACTTAAAGGGAAGCTGGCTTTGGTGGTGGTCTTTAAGACCGATTAGACAGGAGGCTGGGAGAATTTTCTCAAGGAGTTCTCCAAACTTTTCCTAGTCTGGTACAGACCCCTTCCTTCCCCTCCCCCTACTTCCACCAGTCGACCCACCACATCTGGTTTCACTCAAATCCCCACTGCATCCTCACTCTCTTCTCTCTCTCTCTCCCTCTCTCTCTCTCTCTCTCTCTCTCTCTCTCTCTCTCCCTCTCTCTCTCTCTCTCTCTCTCCTCCAATCTCCTTCCCTTCTTCCCTTTCTGTCCTTCCCTCCCTCTTTTATCCCCTCTTTCTTACCTCCTCCTCCTCCCTCTTCAGAAATGGAGAGACAATTTTGTTTCAACACCTCCCTCCTCACCCACTAACGCACGCACCTCTGCTAAAGAATGAGAAGGCATAAGAAAAAGGAATCCCTTCTTCCTCCCTGTAGCGTCCCTTCTCCTCCTCCAACTCCTCTCCCCGCTCCCCGAGGAGCAGTCCCCCCGATGCTGGCAGCGCCTTACCGGTGGGGGCCACGGTGGGGACAGCAGGGGTGGCGACTGTGGCTGCCCCCGCGGGGCTGATCCAGGAGCCCGAGGGGCTGAACACCACACTCCCAAGAAACAGGGCACAGCGCAGCAGGTGACGCCAGGGAGCAGGAGCCAGCCAGGGGAGCCACATTCCGGGGGCTGACTCCGCCGGGGTTCCGGGCACTGGGACAAGAAAGGGATGGATGGATGAACTGAGGGCTAGGAGCTGGAGAAGCGTGAATTGAGGGCCCCGGAGCTGGGTTGGAGATGCTTTGCGTCCTTCCCCGGGCCAGGACGGAGTGATGCCTCCCAGGGAAGGGAAGGAGAAGGGAGGGGAGGGGATTGAAAGGGAAGGGAGGAGAATTGAGGGGAGAGGAGGGATAGGGAGGCTGGGAGGGGTTGGAGGAGGAGGGGAGGAACCAAGGAGGAGGGTTTGAGGGGCAGCGAAGAAACGAAGGGGAAGTGTGGGAGGGGGGAGCAAAGAAAAGATAGAGATCGAGAAAGTGGGAGAGAGAAGAACAGGAGAATGTAACCGATGGAAAGAGAGAGAGTGAGGGGAAAGGAGCGAGATGGAGGGAGTGGGCCAGGGAAAGAAGAGGGGGCGAGGGAGAAGTATGAATGATGGTGAAAAGCATAAAGTGAGACGAGGGCAGTGGGAGTGTTTGCGTGTTAGGAACTGGAGAGCAGGGAAGGGGTGTGTAGAGGGGTGACAATGAGCTCTCTGCCTCTCTCTTCTTTCTCCCGCCTCCCCCCCCCCCCCTCCCTCTCTCCCCCCCCCCCTCTCCCTAGCCCCCCCCCCCTTCCCTCCTTCCTTCGCAGTCCGGGCCTGGAGCCCCAGACACTGCGTCACGGACGGCTGGGCTGGCGCTGGCGGGGAAAACGGCTGCAAAACTTTCTGCACACTTCACCGGGTGATGGTGACGGGGCAGTGAGGCCCACACGGCAGGGGAACTGGGACTGACGCGACCAGGGCTAGCGCGGTCTAAAGGGACTTCCCGGGACTTCCCAGGAACCGCTGGTGCTGTGGCCAGAACCACCTCTGCTCACTCCTCCATTCCCACGTGGACAGTCAGCCTTCTTCCTACCTCCTCGTGAACCTTCTCCCCAGATGTCTTTCTCCAAGGGGGATTTCATTCACTCTTCCACCCCGCCCACCGCCCCATCTCTTGGAATGCGGAAGAGGGGAGGGAGTATTGAGGGGTCTCTCCCAGTGATCTGACCAAGGTGTTGGGCTGGTTGTTGAGTCGTTTTTCAGTTATGTCCCACTCATTGTGTCGCCTTTGGGGGTTTTCTTGGCAAAGATACTGGAGTGGTTTGCCATTCCTTCTCTAGCTAGTTTTACAGATAAGGAAACTGAGGCAAACAGGGTTAAGTGACTTGTCCTGGGTCACACAGCCAGTATTTGAAGCTACATTTGAACGCCGGTAGATGAGTCTTCCTGATTCCAGGCCTGCCACTGTATTGCATAGCTGCCTCTGCCCTGTTGGCATGAAGGCAAATAGGTGACCCCAAACTGGGCTTTTTTTCCTCCTTTTCAATTGGCCATTTGTGTCTTTATTTGATATTTGTGTAACCCTTATTATTCAAACAGGGTCCAAGATGGCACAAATGTATTCCCATATCCTTCAGGGGTGTTGATTTCTATTGACTCCTTCTCCTAACCAGAAACCTGGAAAACTCTCCAGTGGACACCCTTAGGCTGATACCAAGCCTCCTTGCAAGCACCTGGCTCCAGAGAATGCTAAAAAGCCTGTGGTCCATGGCCTCCCCTATAGGTGTTCCCTGCAGAGTGCTTGCTGTACTCTTAGAACCTCCTTCCACATTCATGCCAGGTCCTTCCCAGGTCAGATGAATATACTGTGGTCACAAATATGGGTAATATTTACAGTAGCACTTGGAAAGTTTTATTAGAAGAGAAGCAAGGAACTAATAGGTCCAACTCATGCAAAAACCAGACAGTGGACCCAGTGGCATACAGCACCTCTTCCAACTCACAGGGCATGACCCCCAGACAATGGCTAGCCCCAATTTAAGGTAATTTAGTTGTCCATATCCCCCCCCAAAACCATAGCTCACAAGATCCTACCAATGTGTTTATTTTTAATGATCAGCAAGAAGACACAATTAAGATAAAAAAGCTTCTAATGAAATGACAGAGTAAGAAAAGAAGCAACAAAACATTCCCCTCATAAAATTGGAGGAAGACATGCTACAATACACACATCAAGAGGAAAAGTGGATACATGTGGAGGAACTCAAATGTAAGGAACATGTAGCCATGGCACACATTTAGAGGGGTAGGGCAGCTAGGTGGTTCGTTCAGTGGACAGAATGATGGCCCTGGAGTCAGGAGGACCTGACTTCAAATCCAGCCACAGACACTTCCTAGCTGTGTGACCCTTTGCAAGTCAAGTCACCTTGTTTGCCTCGGTTTCCTCATCTGTAAAATGAGCTGGAGAAGGAAATGACAAACCACTCCAGTATCTCTGCCAAGAAAACCCCAAATGAGTCACAAAGAGTCAGATATAATAGAGGGGCAACTCCTATCCGTGATTCTTCACTAATGGGTCTCTGCTGTCTCCTGGTGATGTCACAGCACAGATCTTGTTGGACCTTTTTCCTGCTGGTTTCATAGTCTCTGATGGTTACTGCGGTCTCTACCAGATGCTACTCCACGGGAGACTGTTGTGTTGGAAGCTGTTCTACCACCTCTAGCTTCTGACTCAGCCAAAACCTTTGGCTAGCTTTTCCTCAAGGGAAGAATGGGTAATGGCTGGCTCTTTTATCTTAAAGTCCATGGGCTTTTTCTTGTTACTGCTCTTTTAGGAAAAAGCCAGATTATGTTGTGCTCTTTGTTACAGGGGATGGTTCACTGGATAGGAAAAAGAAGAAGGATAGGAATATGATGGGGGGGAGGGGGCAGGGAGAAAGATAAGTTATTTTTAAAATCAAGAGTCAGAAGCCCCTGCCTGGGGCCAGCAAAATCCTTTTCCTCAGGTTCTTCTATCTTGTTCCTCAGTGTTTGGGCTATGAACTCTTTCATCTCCTAATTATTGAGTGATAGATTAAAAGCTTAATGAAAGATTAGATACCATATAGCTCAACTCTCTCCTTTTATAGGTAAGGAAAGTGAGACCCTGAGAGGTCATGTGACTTGCTTAAGGTCACACAGGCAGTGACAGAGATGGTGCGGTGGATAGAGCACTGGGCTTGGAGTTAGGAAGACTCATCTTCATGAGTTCAAAACTGGCCTCAGACACTTACTAGCTGTGTGACCCTGGGCAAGTCACTTAACCCTCTTTGCCTCAGTTTCCTCATCTGCAAAATGAGCTGGAGAAGAAAATGGTAAACCATTCCAGTATCTTTGCCAAGAAAACCCCAAATGGGGTTACAAAGAGTCGGATGGGGGCAGCTAGGTGGCACAGTGGATAGAGCACCAACCCTGAAGTCAGAAGTACCTGAGTTCAAATCCAGCCTCAGACCAAACACTTGACACTTACTAGCTGTGTGACCCTGGGCAAGTCACTTAACCCCAACTGCCTAAAAAACAAACAAACAAACAAAACAAAGAGTTGGATACAACAGAAAAAAAATCAACAACAACAACAGTCTCTGAGTTTAGAGTCAGGGTTCTTTCCACAAAGAAGAGAATCTCTGGTGTAACCCCAGGCACGTTACTTAATGCCAATTGCCTCACCAAAAAAAAAAAAGAAGAAGAAGAAGCAAGCAAGAGAATCTCCAGCAGGAGGTTGTTGTTCAATACAACAAAGAGCAGGGTCTTCCCAATTAGCTTATGTTCTAGGGCTTAGTTTTTTCTTTGAAGTCAACTTCCTAGTCACCGAAACCACCTCACTATAGTTCATGGTGAGCAACCTTCTATATGCCTCCCAATTTTAATCTCTGAAAGTTAGAATGTAAACCAAATAATAGTTACTTCCCTACAATTACCAAATAACTCTGGAGTTTGGGATCCTGGTGAGGTCCCTGACCTCATGAAACTTACATTTTATTGTGGGAATGCAGCATATAAATAGATAAGTAAATACAAAGAAATTTGAGGAGAGATAGTATACTAATGATTTCATAAATCACAGAAAGGCTTCACAGAGGAATGGAGTTCGAGAAAGATAAGGATTCTGAGAGTCAAAAGTGAGCTGGGAATGCATTTTAGGTATGAACAAAGATGAGAAATGGAAGTTCACATTTGGAAAGCAACTAATGGTCCAGTTTGACTGGAATGTAGAGTACTTGAAAGAGAGTGATATGAAATAAAGCTAGAAATGCAGTTAGGAGGCAGATTGTGGCTTCAATCAATCTGTGTTTATATTTTATCCTTGTGGTAATAGAGAGCCACTTCAGATTTTTGAGTAAAAGTGTGATGTTCTTTAGGAATGTGATTTTGTGCGGATGTGTGATTAGGATGAGTGGATGAGGGATTAGAGAGGAGAGAAACCGGGAGCAAGAAGACCAATTAGGAGGATATTGCAGTAATCTAGGTAAGAGATGAACCGGAGCTTGAACTGGAATGCTGTCCATGTGAATAGAGAAGGGATGGGAGCAAGAGATGCCATACTGGGAGAAGTGATAAAAATTAGTCATGAGTCTAATATAGAGGAAGAGGGAAGAGGAATGTATTACTCCAAGGGTATGAAATTAGATGACTGAGAAGATGGTAGTGCCTTCCACAGCAAAAAGAAAATTGAGTTTAGGGAGAAAAATCCCAAGTTCTTTTTTGGACATGCTGTGTGTAATAATGATAGACCATCCAGGTGGAGATGGCCAGCATGCAGCTGGTGATGCAGAACTAAAATTCAGGCAAGTTAAGGACTAGATATATGGATTTGGGAATCATCTATATAGAGATGATCATTGAACCTTATGTACATTGATAAAGTCACTAAGGGAGAGAGAAAAGAGAAACAAGTCCAGGACAGAGCCTTGGGACATTCTAATAAAGGGGAAGGCAATAACAAAGGAAAGTGAAAAGAAGTCACACAAGTAGAAGGAGAATCAGGAGTGAATTGGGCCAGGGAAGCCAGTAAAGAAGATTGTTGGGGGTGGGAGGAGATGGGGAGGTGGTCAACAATGTCAAAAGCTGTAAAGGATCAAGGAAAATAAAGACTGAGAAGTAGTCATTGGATTTAGCAGTTAAAGGATAATTTCTGAGTTAACTAAAGGCAGCGAGGTGGCACAGTAGATAAAGCACTGAATTAGAGTCAGGAAGACCTGAGTTCAAATCCAGCTTCATACACTTACAAGTTGTAAGATCTTTGGCAAGTTGCTTAACCTCCTTCAGCCTCAGTTCCCTCATCTGTAAAATGGGGGTAATAATTGAATCTCCCAGGGTTGTGATGAGGATAAAGTGAGATTATATCTGTAAAATACATTGTAAATTTTAAAGCCACACAAATGCTAGCTATTATTAACTTATGAGAGCACAGTTTCAGCAGAAGTGAAGGGACTGGAAGCTATTTTGTGGAAGTGGAATAGTGGATAGGTGGCAAGGAAATGGAGGCAAAAAGGGTACATGATTCTTTTGGGGTTTGGCTATAAAAGGAAAGTGTAATTTAGTACAAGATCTTGAGGGGATAGCAGGGCCAAATAAATGTTATTTGAGTATAGAACCCCATTGAGAATTCATATAGAGTTGGACATTTAAAGGTCTTCACAACCTTGTTCCTTTCTTACCATTCTAGTCTTCATATATTTTTCTACCTTCCATACACTCTATGTGCCATTCAAATTGTCCTAGTTACTGCATATAATACTTGATCTCCCATCCCCAATCCTCACTTCAGGCATGCTCAGATACCTCCTTACTGCTTCCAGTCCACTATGTGGGCTCATTTAATTGGTTGCTGAGATAGACTCTGGACATACTGAGAAGGTAATCCCTGCCCTTCAGTCTATCCTTTGTACTGGCCCTGAGGTGTAAAGTTGACTCTCTAGCTCCAGAGGGCTGGTAGGAAGTGTAGAGGATTTGGAGGAGGGAGGAGTTGGAGGCTGAAAAGAGAAAAGATATGGTTTGCATTATCATCTCTGTGCAGATACACACACGTATGTGTGTGATACCTATACATACACAAAAATACATACATACATGTATGTTTGTTTGTATATATGTGGCTTGTTTTTCCCCTGACCTCTGCTCTCAT